TCACTTATTTTGAGACAGGATTTTGCTCTGTCGCCTAGGCTGGAGTGAAGTGGCGTGATCACAGCTCACTGCAGCCTCGATTTCCTGGGCTCCAGCGATCCTCTCATTTTAGCCTCCTGAACAGCTGGGACTACAGGTGTGTGCTACCATGCCTGGGGAATTTTTGTATTTTTGGTAGAGGTGAAGTTTCACCATGTTGCTCAGGCTTTATAGCACAATCTTTTTTTTTCTTCTTTTAGACAGAGTCTGACTCTGTCACCCAGGCTGGAGTGTAGTGGCACGATTTCAGCTCACTGCAACCTCCGCCTCCTAGGTTCAAGCAATTCTCCTGCCTCAGCCTCCCGAGCAGCTGGGATTACAGGCACCTGCCACCACACCCGGCTAATTTCAAACAAAATTTTTATTAGAGACGGGGTTTCACCATATTGGCCGGGCTCCTCTTGAACTCCAGACTTCAGGTGATCTGCCTGCCTCACCTTCCCAAAGTGCTGGGATTACAGGTGTGAGCCCGGCCTATAGCACATTCTTAACCAGGTTTTATTCTACTTTTAATCCAAAAAAGCATACGATAAATGAGCTCATGAACACTGAATGTGTATCTGCCTCTTGAATTTTCAGTAAGGAGTAAAGTCACGCGGTACCTAGTAACGTCACGGGAAGTAATAACCTCAAACAGATAAACTGCTATTCACATTTCCAAGGAGCTCATTTACATAATAATCAGATTCTGATTTCATTAAATGAAGGGGATGAGGAAAGAAGAGCTTAGTGTAAGTCTTACTTCTGCTCCCACAGAGTGTGGCAGCAAGAGTGTCAGAGGCCGGGGTAGCCAGGCATGTCTGTGCGTGCCTGAGGAAGGACACCAGGGTCAGCTGTGAGTGCAGGGCCTGCCTCGTGCACTGGCACGTGGTGACAATGTTACCCACCAGGGCTGTTCTAAGGATGACACGGGGAAAGTGCCTGAGTGCTTCATAAATGCTACCAGTTGCTACTGTTGCTGTTGTTACTAAATACTCACAGGTCTTTAGTCTTTTTTTCCTCTCTCATGGGGGAATTGGGGTCCAGATGGGAAAGTTCTGGAGGGAGCTCCTTCCCTTGAGCCAGCAGCCATGCCCTTTCTTCCCTGAGCTTTCTCCTCTTCGCTCGATCTACAACGAACACAAAGGCTGAGTGAGCTGCGCACACTCCAGACGCTGACGTGGCGTGTTCCTTTATCATTGTGAGAGAAGGAAGACACCAGGCCACCAAAGCAGGATTATGAAGCAACTTCTGCTCCCTGTGCCACCCTCTCTTGGGTAATCAGGATGTTTCCACAGATGGAATGCTTTCAGACATGGGTAAACTAACTAATTGAACCTGTTTCCTCACTCACACTGAGCTCAAGGTGGGGAATGAAGGTGACAGGGCAGGCACAGGGTGGGCAGGAGGGAAGGGAGCAAGGCAGAAGAAAACAGAATGGCAGTTGAAGAAAAAGGAAAAAGTACAAGGTTGAATGAGGACTATCTTCTTGGATTACTTGAGGCCATTCTGATCTTTTACTTAAAAAAAGCAACATCCGCAAATCCTTTTTTAGGACCAGACTCTCAGTCCACACACACACAGGATTTTAAATGCACGCCCCAGCTCTTCACGTTCTGTGTTTATGAAGGCATCCACGCAAGCAATGGTCTGCTCCCCACCCCACGCCTACAGCAAGCAGCAGGCCCTGCCACCAGTGGGAGTTTGGCTGGGAAGAGGGGAAAGATGCCAGCTGGGACTGGCAAGGAGCTGGAAGGCAGGGATGATTTTTTCCCTGGCTCCCAGCCACAGCCATGAGCAGCACACTTGGCATTCCACTCCCAGCCTGATGGAGCACTTACCACTTGCAGGGAACAAGGAGGTAGGGGCCAAAGAAAAGAGGCAAGGAGAAAAATG